ATCAAAGAAACTGAGACCAGACCGGGTACATTCATCCATCAAGCATAATTACTGCAGAATTTTAGATTTTAAAAACAATTAACAACACAAGTGCAATTTCACATGCTTTCATTTCTCTTCCAGTACAGTTCCCGGAGTATTAAAGTGCCTTTGTGCACTCTAGTTTCGTTTAGAGTCAGGTGCAACACACAGCATATTTGGAGGTTACTTCAGAGGTCACTTTTTTAGGGAAAAAATTACGGTAACCACTTGAACCAATGCACACGATGAGAACTGAGGTGCTTCCAAGTACCCCTGTTCTGCCTGTTCGCTGCTGAATGTCACGTAACAAACAAACTCCAAATACATAGGGCTAAACAAGACTAGAGTAAAAGATATTTCTTGAAGCGTGTTTTCTGCTGTGCAACCCTCAGCTTTTCTCATTTGTTTCCCCTTTCAAGCGCTGCTCAGTTACGTTTGTCCTTTGGATGCCAAACTTCCCCGCAGCTTTCATTTACAGACGGCTGTGAGCATGGAGAAGGGGCAGTACCTGGCCTGTGGCTAAGGAGAGGTGTGTGCTTCCCAGGTCACATCCTACAGCCCCCTGCTGTAACTTGGTCAGTACGCGAGGCACATTCTGCCTGCGGGACACTCCAAGACTTGTGCCCTCTGGATCTTGCCCGTAGCGACTGCCTGCCCTGCAGAACCGAGCAAAGTCCTCAGTGCTCCTTAGGAACTCTCACCTCTTCCTGCTACGCTGCCTTCTCAACCCCAAACCTCAATAATCACTGCAGAAAGAAAAGGAAATCTTCATGCAGTTTGGCTGTCACTCGCCTGGCCCCCAAAATGTCCTCTTCAAAACACAAAGACGTTTCCTAAAGCCCATGATTCAGTATCCCATCAAAAGATGCTCTCCACTAACATTCCAATCCTATGCTTTCACAGAAAAGAGTGCAACGGGTTGTATTTCCCACAGCATTTGAGGCGTTTTGATGATATTTTTCAATACCTGCACCCTATGAGCGGTTATGGGCCACAAGTTATCTAGGAAATGAAAATTTCACTTTAGATCATTACGCAGCGATGCTACAGGAGGTCACCAGCGGCAAGGGCTGAAGAAGGCACTCGGGAGGAAAGCTTACTTGGAGAAAAAGAAGAAATTCGGAGAGAGGATGACCAACTAATCCTAACCTTTAACAGCAGATGCGGATGAAAGACTCTCTCTGTCCTCCTGTACTTGATAACGCTTTGCATCACGAAGTGAGAAAACAATCACAGAATCACAGAATGGCTCGGTTGGAAAAGCCCTCTGAGATCATCACGTCCAACCGTTCCTGTCTACCCCCTAAACCATATCCCTAAGTACCTCATCTACCCACTCCTTAAACACATCCAGGGATGGTGACTCCACCACCTCCCTGGGCAGCCTGTTCCAGCTTCTGACAACCCTCTCAGTAAAGAACTTCCTCCTTATCTCTGACCTGAACCTCCCTTGGCACAGCTTGGTGCCGTTTCCCCTTGTTCTATCCCCCATCACCTGGGAGATGGGTTGTAAGTCGGGGCCGTAAGCACGGCCAGCGCAGGTGATGCTTTCCTTGTGCCGCCGCTGTGAGATGTGAACAGCCCCACTGCGGATGTGGCTGGATGCAGCCTCAGGCCAGCGAGAGCCCTGCGGGGGAGGAAGGTTTACTGGGGCTCTGGATGTGCAATTCGGTGATGTTACTTAAAATACCGTGTGCAGCGCAGTGTTTCAAGAACATACGTACTCTGTTAAGCAAACTACGGGGAATTAGCGATTTCCTAACCTGCGGAGTACTTCAAAACTTCTCCATGAAACTGTAGGGTCATGGAAAAGAACAATCTGAGTATCCACTGCAGCAGAGGAAAAAAAAGAGAAAACAGTACAAATTCAATGTGAATCACAACTACACATAAAGTCTCTGGTTTAGTTCATAAAATACTTTGATTAAAATACTTTAAACATTTCATAATGGTATAATAATTTCCAATGTAATCTATGCGACAAATTCCACCCATATCCAAAAATACCATATATGTAAACGCTTTCTTAGAAAACTTTATACAGTTCAAGCTCCCATTAGACACAATTCTCTATCCCCTAGGTAGAAAGTCTTCAGGAAAGCGTATCCTCAGAGTATACGAACAACGACGCTTCCATCACCCTTCCCTTCTGACTATCGATTCTGCTCAACCAAGCTCTTATTGCTTAAAAGTCAAACCAGACGGGTTTCATCAAGGCCAGATACACCACACCAGCCTGGGGAAGGGACCTGCTTTCAGTGTTATGGGACAGAGACACCTGTAAGCCTTGTTACCATTTCCAGAGAGATTTCCACATTAACTGTTGCCCACCCTGCACGCTTGGTACAGAGAAGAGGAGAGAAGAGGAGAGGCATCACTGGGAGGAAGGAGACCGATGGCAATAGGTATGTTTAGGGACCACTGCCTCTCTCTTCATTTTCTTATTAATTCCATAATCTCTTCAGTGATTTCTGCGAGTACTTCAACTATAACTGAAAGCTATGATGTGATCAGACAGCAGACACTAGAAACACCAAATCTAGAATGTGCAAGAACAACGTGAATATTCCACCTGGGCAGGCATAAAATTCACAGCTGGTACTATGCCAAAACACCTCTGCAGCAAGCTTTTTATTTACACAACTTCCAATGAAAAATACTGTTATCTCTCAAGCCACACATTCAATTAACAGAAATACATCCACAATAACTACTGGTAAAAAAAAAAAAAAACCATGATAAAATCATTTTCTTTTCTTTTTTATTCAAAATATTCTGACAGTTTAACAATATTCCAGGTGCATTACAAACACTGCCATAGTCAACACAACAATCAATACTTAAAGAGCATTCAAACACTGCAGACGTCTATCTTAAAGCAGAGACGGGAGAATGCGCCTATACTAAGAGCACACAGATAATCTTCCAATTAACTGACTTCTTTGAGGCAGATGTCTGATTTCTCTGGCACGAAACGGATTAAAATCCAGAAGAGATGAATTACAGAGGACAAGGATTCAGATGTATCAATGTTTTCCCCTGCATTTTCTAGAAAACGTTGTGAATTTATCATACAAGGCCACCACCAGCCTAGACTACCGTAGTGTTGACTCTTTACGGGATAGAACAACAAAATCATGACAGAGAAACCTGCGTCAGAGCAAACGAAACCACGAACTCCTCATAAAATGTGGTTTAAATTAGTTCACAGAGAGCTGGGAATATATTAACTATGCGATGCACTGGAAATACCAGGTAGAAAAAAAAACAAACCCGAGCTTTCTCTTCCTGATATTTTCCCCCTCAGTCTTAAACCATAATTTGCCTAAAATTTTCATCAAATGATAGCGCCCCTCGTGCAAGCGTCTTTTCTCACGCTTCAAAAACATTGCTACTAACAGATCTGTTTCATTCTTGAACGTATCAGCCAATATTAGCTCTAAAGTTTAAACGACGCAGTCCTAAACATCATACCCTGTTTCTTCCAATTACGCCAGGTTCTCAAAAAGCTCAAATTTCAGCTTTATTTAAAACAGCGTATTTGTCTGAAAAGAACATAATTCTCTCTTTCTGATATAGGAAACAGACGTCCAACCAAGAACTTGCAGAGACGTGTACACGAATGAGTGCATAGTGCAGAACATCACACAGAGAGCAGCAAGGCCACGGTGTCACATCAAGTCCGCATGTAAAAGATGTATGTTTCCAGTGACCAAATCCATCCTAAAAAGTTTTACTTCAGGGGCTTGCTTAAAGCATTAAAATCTTGCTCTACAGATGGCAAGTCTCCTCCGTCCCGACTTCTCATACAGCTGACTATACAGGCATGGTAGGACAGCCACAGACACAGCGTCCAGAGGAGACACACCAAAAATGCTTTGGATACATCATTCAGATTCCATATGAAAGCTTGAATTTTCCCTGTGGAAAAGAAGGAAGTGGGACAACTTTCCAATGACACAGCTTGCCTGTGTGTCATTAAAAGAAAACCAAAAAAGGAGCAGGCTTTAGGCCAGGGTCGGAGAGCCACAACTCCACTGCGACAGACAGACAGACGGAGGAGGTACGTCTGGTTGCTCCAGGGCTGAACCGGGTCTTTGCCGTAAAGGGTCCTTCACCTGCCTCGCTCGTCGCTTCCAGTCAGTGCTCCCCAGCAGTGGAAACGTGAAGCGCTTGTTGCAAAAACACAAGCGGCGAATGGCCAGAGGAGATCTGTGTATGCTTCCTCTAAATGCTTTGTTTCCCCATTCAACTAGTTTGCTTTAAAAGCAATATTTTTGGAGAAGGGCCATCAGAACAAAGGAGTGAGGCATTTCCCTTCGTCACAACATCAGACACTCCATTAACAGACTGACTTCATGTCCTAAACCAAATTAGTTCCTGGAACATCTTGTGTTTGTATCCTTTTCCTTAGGAAACAAAGAGTTTTCTCCAGCAGTTGTGCAGTTTAAGCCTGTTACGATATTTTACTCCAGCATTTTCTTAGCACCCCAACACAAGTTATGTTGTAGCTTGTCTGTGCTCAACAGCGACTACGGACAACCACCAAGAGGGGCAGCGTCCACAGCAGGGTTGAAAGAACAGCCAGACCAGCCCACGACACTGACAAGCACTTTCTGATACACTGGCATCCACATTCGGCTACTGACTCGGTACGGGGTTTCTCTCCGAGTGGGGCTAACTCCAGTTATTCAAATGCAGTAAACACAAGAGGGCAACACTGAGGACATCAATCCTGCAGGTTAGTTTTCTGTCCTTTTTTAAATAAACCTGTTAATGGAGATAACGGCTCAGTGTCAAGGCTAAGTGGGCAAGTGTTACATATGCTGAAGTTGTTACGGGAACATCACCCTTGCTCGTTGTACAGCTGTGCTCCGTGGATTTAAGCCAACCATACACATTTCAGCCTACTAATTTACCTATCTTGCTTAATCTCCAGTATCTTCATCCTTTCACACTCCCTAATTAACTATCAATTATTTTCCTGAGTGAGATTATAAAAAGTTAAACCCTTCTACCAAAAGTACAAAGACAAATAAAATATAGAACGATACAAACCCAGTTATACAGCATTAGAAGTGCAGAAATTCTTCATGTTGTTGCTCTTCTTTATCATTGGCCCCCAGTAAAAACCATAGCAAAGAATTTAGTTATCCAAAATATTTTTAAGTACTCTGATTAAATTCTTCAGACCATAAACGTAGCCCTCATCCTTTGTGTTGCTAGGAAACACATGAGCAAAATCTATCATTCGGACTTCCACGTTTGCACTTTCCTTGATCTCTGCTGGCATGTGACAGAAAACTTTTTCCAGTTGGGGTATAACATTCCCATTCAGATGCTCCTGTGTAATGCACGCGCTGCTCTTCCACACGTTGCCTTGCTCCAAGTTTTCCACTTTCAGTGAGAGTTGACTGTGGTGCCTCTTAGAATACGCCTTTTTGTGAAGTGCGTAAAATTTGGACAAGCCTTTACTTACAGAGGCCTCGATTTTCCCATTCTCTGTAGAATTTATTACATGAATATTATTATTATACTCCAGTATGTCTCCACCTGATAAGAGTCCTTTGGGCACTCCTCTCTTCTCTGCCAAGGTGACATCACCCAGCCGCATGGTCGTTGCCTGACATGAACCTTCATAAACAAAGAGCAATGAGCTTGCATAAAAGTTGAGTTGCTTCTGGCCCTCAAACCACTCCAGAATTTTTTCAATCTTCCGAATGCTGGCAGCTATCGCATCTTTTCTCAAGCAGTACCCATTGTGGAAGAACTTGGAGATGCCTGCAAGAAATAGACATGTTTGGAGGTTATTTTCACCTCTGAAAAGAAATCATTTTTCATTTCTTTTAGGATAAGAAGACAGTATTCACACATAGATGCCTTTCAGGCAATTAGTAACTAAATCAGAAGTGAACTAAGAAACTGATACCTTCAGTCACCTCACCCGTATAAAGCCTGCTGTATAACACTACAGACTGGGAAAACTAATCAAGAAGTCAATAAAACAGCAGGCAAACACAGGGAGTTCCTGCTCCCCAGGTCATTTTCACAAGCATCGGGACATTTTTGGGCAGGGACATGTTAAATTCTTCAGCGATAAGCAAGCTGAAACACCCCTTTATCATGAGTGACAGAGTCGACAAGTTAGTGCCAGCTCTGGAGAGGGGAGTGTTCACCTGTGTGCGTGCCCTGTCCCTCAGTGGGAGCCTGATGAACAGGCATCAGTGACTAATTTGTAATAGTTATCACCACCAAACAGCTGTGTGATGGTAGCACTTCTATTTATTATTAATATATAGCAACGTATGGATTGACTTCAACCAAGGAGGTCCCTTAAATTGATGCCTTTATAGTAGCTATCGAACATAAAATACAGGATATAGTCACAGAAGATAACAAGAGGAAAATATACACATTCAAAACTCTGCAAAGAAACTGAATTCTACCGCTATCATCCCCTTACTGGTAGTAAAAGACACTTGATTAGGAAATTTCTGTCGCCTACACTGCTTTTACAGCCAACTGCAAAGTTAATTTAGGATCAACAGGTAGTTCAAGTGATAGACGAAACTTCTGAAGACCCACGGGGCAAGAGGAGAGAAAGGGACTTTTAAAATGGGAACACACAGATGACTTTTTCATACGGTTCTAAAAATAAATAAGTAAAGATACCCAACGGCACCAAATTCTGACACACAAATTCCTTTACCATCCTTCACTGTTTCCTTTGTCAAGCTCCTTCCGTAGTGCTGGTTTTGCGTCTCGTAGCTGTCAGAAGAGACGTGGTAAACCTGCGAGAAACAAGGAGGTAACTCGGTACTCATTGCAAACAAGCACTGTTTCTGCAGAACGCCTTGCAGACAGGCTGCAAAATCTCTGGCACCACCGAGGCCTCCTCGCGCAGATTTCAGTTACTCGCAGCGGTCAGCACTGCCCTCTCGGGCTCTGATCTGTAAAATCCTCCCCTTCACATCTTGGGGGTCTAAGCTACAGCTTTCCTGCATTAGAAAGACATAATGACATTGGCACAAGTGTCAATTACGGGGAAAGATTTTATATGGCACCTGCCTTGCAAATCCATGCTGTGACTTGAAACTATCATACTCCTAACCCATGTTACTAGGAATATTAAATCTGTAAGATGTGACACGCTCACATTTTCAATGCCATTATTTTACAGTTCTTAAAACTACAAAAACATTAACCGCAGCAGCAAAACAATAAGAAATGCTACGATGTGATGAGGAAGACCCAGCCCCATGAGACTCATCTGAGACTATAACCGATGGCACAAATAAGGTTATACTGAATAAATGACAGCAGTCAAGTAGAAGGTCGGTTACAGCACTGATAGTGGGACATCAGCCCACGCCTGAAAGGGAGGCAACTCATACCCCTACAGTTTTGTCCATATCAGGAATTGTACAAGCTTAACTTAATTCAAAAATGTTTTACAGAGAGACACATTTTCTCTCTAACTGAAATAATTTCCATAGCAGAAATGTGCCAGCCAGCCAGGCCCAAGTATAATCTGTTTATGAGAGTGTAGACAATTCTTATTTGCAGAAATAATGGTGTTACTACGCAGGCAGCTGTCTCTGGCAGAAACTCTGTGCTTGGCACTTGTTCAGACCACCCAACCCTGTGGCACCCATCCCGGCTGCAGTGCTCTGCTCTGCCTTCACCCGCTGTCAAAAGAGAGGAGCCCACGTTGGGGTGCACTGCCCCCAGTCTCTCCTTTGGAGCCTTTTTCTTGCTGCAGCCCACAGAGAAAGTCCAGGACAGTGAAACATGAGCACGTAACAGGAGTGGTACATGAGCAATAATACTAAAAAAATTAATTCCCTGTTTCCACTGCAGCCCCCTACCCTGAAACGCCTCTCCCTCATCTAAACCACAGCCAGCAGAATATGAAAACACAGACCCATAACTCCTGCTTCGCAAAGTAGCTGGGAAGAAAACCCTCAAATAGCTTTCTTGACAAGATAGCTTATTTTGACAAAAAGAGAGAAGTAACTAAATTCAGGGTCCCCAAGGAACTTAAATCACAGTGTGTGGAAACTGGTTTAAGTCATCAAGCATCAACTGAAGGGGCAGTAAATAATTCTGGGTGTTCTGAAGAAATCACAGTTGTTTGTAAGCCTGACTGTTTAAACTCACTTGGTAGCAGAGTCACTTCCCACTGTTATGATTCCTATTTCTCCTCCTATGATAGTTCAAGAAACAGAGGCCCTGATATCTATAAACTGCAGAAGGGCATAGCAGAGGTTTGGTTTCACTAAGCCAAATATTTTTCACCGCTTTTTAAAAAGTACATAGAAGAGGGACGGTATGTAATACACAAACCCAAGAGACTATCTAGGGAAATAGTTCATGTACTTCAGGTACATCAGGTACAAAAACTTACCAAAAGTTCCTTTTTTATTTCTTTAAAAAGCCATAAGCCAAAGGTAATAAAATAAAGGAAGAATACAATAAGTACATTGCTTAGGAAGAGGAACAAGAGTCTGACAACTACATTTAAGTTTTCATTAGCTGTGTCTTTGTATTAATAATATTAAATGTTTAGTTGGTCTAGAGGCAGCTTTGTCCATGCAACAGCACACTCCTGAATCTTGTTTACCAGAACCTTATCTCTTCCCATAGGAGCCAACGGTTTTTCTGACATGGGCATCTGCTCAAAAATGCTGATTAAGATCTGCAAGCTCATTTTGTTTTCCAAAGAAACTCTGGAGCGGCACATAAAGCCCCCTGTGCTTCCGAGCTGGGTTTCCCATGAAGCCACCCTACTTCTTCTCACAATTTGCACAAAACCATTTCTGCTGAATGGTTTTCTACGTAGTTGAAAAATACCCGGGCAGATGTGCATGTTTTGCATTAACAGTGCATTTTGAACTGCACAAAATGGTTGATGGCAAACTCAGAACACCCTTGCTTACCCATGGGCTTGGCTGCAGACAATAGCACTGAAGAACAACACTGGAGTATTCTCCATGTTAGCTGAAGGGCTCTCTCTTAATATTGCTTCAAGGTTGTGACTATCTGAAACACTCCTGGAAAACCTCAGCCAAATACAAATACATTAATCCCCATAGTGAAAGCAGAGGAACAGAAACCCAAGTTCAAACAGAAATAATCTTTCACCAGTTCTTGCCTCACCCTCACCAGAACACAGGGATGGCTGTGTTGCAGTAGTAGAAGACTAAAATAAATTTTCTAGTCTGCAAACCTATTGCTTCACTGTCCTTTTGTTCACACCATCACCACTCCTACTCTGCTTACTAACCCTTCCCAAAAGGATATTTGCCGTTGAAGCAACCTTTTTCTGTATCCCTGTTGTTGCAGCTGTCTGGACTAGCCCATTCCTGTCAAAATGATGACAAGTCAAATAAGTCAAATCTGTAACCTTACCAACGGCCAAGAGATTATTAGACAGGAAAATCGAATTTCTTGTCCACCTGCCACAGCTCGTTACGTGTTTGCTCTGTGTTCACAAGGAGCTTCACTGCATAGCACAAGACAAAGAAAACTCCTTCGTGATTTGCAAAACATCACCCTCAAGACAACTCTTGCTTCACCGGTGATTTTTATGCATTCTTCCTACACAAGATCACAGCTGTTTTGCTCCTCCTTGTAACCTCCCATTCGGTGAGGTTTCTGCACAGACTGAACTGGAACCCAGCATGCCCACAGCTTCAGTTTTTAATTAGCAGTAGGGGCTTGTAAAAAAAAAATCCACATGATTAACTGTCAAGGGGAAGTTGTCTTTGGATGTTCTCAACTTGTGCTTGGCTTTTGTCTCCCTGAGAGGTGTTGCTAAAATAAAGTTGGCCCAGTGTGGTCTTTAAAAAAGCACAACCCTTGCAAGATCTCAACAGTGAGATACGCAGTTTAGCTTCAGGACATTAGGCTGAAGAGTGGATTGAGGAAAACAAGTAAGAAATGTTATTTATGGTCATTCAGCATAGACAGAAAAGGCAGAAAAATACCCACGCTGTTCAAATACTTATCTGTGGCAACTCCCTAACTTCCAGAAAGTATAATTTAAATACATACTAATTAAGACTAGCTTGTTTGCTAGAGATACTGCTATAACAAATACAAAGTCTTTATTAAATAACTTGCAGGCCTCCTTCACATCTGCAAAAGAATCTTACTAATCTACATCACTGAAAGTGGAAGAAAATACTTTGAGCGTGCTCGTCTTGTACACCAGAGGGGTACCTGCAGAGCGAAGGCTAACTCGACGGCACACGATACGGACTCGTGCACTGCTGACGCGCCGATGCCTGGGAAGGGGTTTCCCACGGAGCTCCTGTGCCCATCCCTGCTCCCCCGGGTGCCCCACAAGGCCAGCCAGGACCTGCTCTTCTATGCAAGGACGTGATGATTAGAGATACATGCTCTGATGCCAAGACACCCAGACTTCAAAGGGCTGAGCTGTCCAACCCTTGTATTATTTTTCCATAAAAATACTTAACGTTTAACCCTATTTTACACTCATACAGGTAAGAGCAAGCGAGCATTTAAATCTGCCAGTTCTCTGTTTACAGCAAGGCACCTCTGTACTCGTAACTGGTATCTGAAGGTCAGTCCCCAGCCTGCTGCCAAACAGCCAAGCCAAAAGCAGGGGGTAAGCAGGCAGCACCCCAAGTAACTCGAGGGCATCTGGCATCAGCACCAGCCCACACCTTGGCAAGGGGCAACTCCAGCACCAGCTGAGACCCACAGCAACAACTGGGTGCCTTTTGCCCAGACCCCAAGGCTGTCCCTATATAAACGTACAGGTTTCCTCTGTGTCAGAAGAATCCAGGTTTCTCCACAGTCCTGCGATGTCTCAGAGCCTGATCCTGCCACAGCAGAGGACTTGAGCACTGAGTTTTAACAGGCCCTACTTATTTTTTCTTTTTCCAAAAGAAAGTAAAACTGGGAACTGAAGAAAAAAGAACAAAGTGTTAAAAATAATTATCTCCTAAATAAAAAAAAAAGACGACACTGCGGTTAAATCATGAACCATTTCAAAAAGAGCTTAAACATCATTTTGGACTCCCAGAACTTCCACAGAGCACCTCATTACAATAAATTTATTTTAATGCCTCCTTTTTATATAACTGGGGGGGAAGGGGAGGAAGAGGCCACCTCATATCATCCACCATCAGCTTTTTCCCCGACATACAGTCAATTCTGTTAGCCAGAAGGATGTAAGTGGACCAGCTGTCACATATGCGATGAGTCTTTTGTGTAAGGAAAAACTGCTGGGGAAAAAAAAAAAAGCCAGGGTACCCATCTGCTAGAACTTGCCTAAGAGGATGACAGCTGAACCTCCTGAACTCCACAAATGAAATACTCCTGAAACACACCCCTCAATCCACCAGCAGATACCGGGCTTGGAGGAATTGCTGTGTTCAGCCCCGCAGCACGGATTTGGCTCCCTCAGACTGAGAAACAAATGAGCTGAATGCGCCTGCAAGAACCGGGGAGCGAAAGCGGACACAGAGAAAAGCAGAGGAGGTGGCAGCAGGGGACAGAGGTGACAAAGCCAGCAAAGCCAGAACACCCAGAGCCTGGCTCTGCTGCTGGGTTCAGCCCCTGCAGACATCAGTTCTCAGACTTTCTGGAGGGCTGGCTTGTTTGGAGGTGGGGTTTTTTTTGACTGGTTGTTAAGGGTTGGTTTTTTTTAGTTATTGTTTTGAATTCCTCTGTTTTCTTAAACAGCAAAGCTTGAATTAGATTTATAATTGTAGAAAACCCAAATGGTTCTGGTAATTTTTTACTGTGCAGGAATATGAACACTAGATGCAGGATTTAATAGCTTTACTATTCTTCCCTTCCTAAATCTTGTTATTAACACATCAGAGCTTATGAATATCACCATGATACTAGAAAGGGAGGTTGTGGAGTCTCCTCTGCAGACATTCAAAACCTGCCTGGCCGTGTTCCTGTGTGACCTGGTCTGGTGATCCTGCTCTGGCAGGGGTTGGACTGGATGAGCTTTTGAGGTCCCTTCCAACTCCTGATACTCTGTGATTCTGTGGTAAAGAACTCATAAAACGGACTCAGCTACAGTCAGTTTTAAAATATCTTACAGAAACATGTGCTGTAGATGAGGAAATTCACTTGTAAAAACAGCTTCGATGAGGTATCTGCATTACTGCATGCAATAGTTCATACGCACAAACAGTAAAAGTAAACGATGGATCATACTGGTGAAGTTGCATAATCGCCAGTTTGTGCTTTAAAAACACGTCGCAGAAATATTCTGGCCTACGTGATATTGCAACCAAGCTGTTCTGGAAGAAAAAGCAAGCATGCAGAAACTGGGGATTGCAGATTCTGAACGAACTGCGAATCCGACATAAGATCACAGCCCACACATTCTGCTTTGTATTCAACAGCATAAAACTAGCGTATTTTTAATATTGCATGCACTGTGAAAATATTTTAAATATATATATATTTGTATGTCTGCTACTGAAACCATATTGTAACTTGTCTTTTTGCTACTGAAACCGTACCTTAGTTTTCCAACTTACATTTAAACTCTACTTTTATAACATATCTACATCGTCACCTGTTAAAGAAAGGAATCTCTCCACTAAATACACCATTGGGTTTTAACCAAGGTTGTTGAACAGACTATTTTCTAAATGTGTTTCCAGGCATTTTTTCTGTCTATTCAGCTCATGAAGATGAATATAGTTTAGCACATGCCAAGTGCCAGAACTATGTATATAAATCAAAGCTCTGCCAGATAGAAGATTCACTTCTTTTAAGGACAAACCATACATATTTTATATATAAGAGAGGACTGCTTATTTAACAGTGGATAAAAAAGCCACATCAATGGCTTTTGGGGTAAAAACTCACTATAAATAAATTTTGTGGTAAAAACCCCACCTGTAACACGTTTTTGCTTGAGTCTCCTCGTATCTTGTGTCCTTTAAAAACCATAGATAACCACATTTTCCATTTTTCCTGGCCCTCTCTTTCTTGCTCTTTCGAAATCCGAATTTAATAAGCAAGCCTACCCTCATGTTAAAAATAACACTGAGCAGAGAGATTAAAAACAACCCCCTCTACTTTCTGAATCGTGTTACACCACGTTTTACCCAGCAAACACTAGCAATCCTTATTGAGCACGTTAGCAGTCACTGCCCGTACAGGAGATGGGCAGAGAAAAGGCCTTGTGGATTTACACTTTGCTACCTGTTGTGCGAAGAGAGGGGGGAACCTTTTAAGTTCTTTTTTCAAAAATAACTTCCAACACGCAATTTGGTACCAGAGGCACAAACCAAATCTCACCTAGTTAAGCACTGGATGGGAAACTGCAATGCATCATTACACACACACTTTGAACTAGGGAATCAAAAGAATTTTTGCAATGAGTGAAGACACCGATAATTGACAACGTTAGGAGCAATAGTCACAAGCAAAAATACCGTGGAAGCAAACGTTAATTCCTTTTCCACTGTAATGAAACAAAGGATGTGAGTACATTGTTTTACACATAAGATAAGAAAGGTTATGCAATGACATAAGCCAAATCCAAAGCTATAATCTCCAGCCTTCCTTCTCGATCCAGACTGTGTGGTTTTTGACTCAACTCCCACGTTCTCTCTCATAGGCTTACATAATTACTACTCATGACCACTATAATTTATAGCTGTAAAAGCTTATCTCAAGACAGAGTTAAGGCTGAGAGCCTAGGCAATTAAGTACAAAACATTACAGAGATATTAGAATTATTTCAAACAATGGTGCAATCTGTGTGCTGTTGCTATCTAACAGCAGAGGGGAAGCTTATCAAAGTCTTCAGCCATTTATGCTTGTTGATGCAGAGCTTGAGAAGCCCTGCCTTTGTGTATGAGAGAAGGAAAACAAAAATCCCACATCAGAAAGACAATTATTCCCGTGCCAATCACAGCAGAAGAAAAGGACTGTAAATATATTGCATCAGGAATGCATTACTGACATCAACACATTTATGTCACTGATCCACACATGCTCTGGACAGCTTTTCTTTACATTGGAGTATCAGAGTAGCCAATATTGAGTCTTCATCTTTCTCCTCACCTAAGATAGGGAAATGTAGTAGAGTTAGTGTGGACATCTGCAGGGCCTTATCCATCTCAAATCAACCTTCAACTGACAGTTGTTCCTCCGGCATGTAAGCATCAAAGACATCTTCTTCTGGTGGAAAGCTTTTTTAAATGCAGACCGTAAGCAGCTATTTATAAATACATGCATCGCTTCTGAGCGCTAACTTAACTCTTCCCTAAATAGAAAAATTACATTGAAATTATTTTTTTTTTAAAAAAGCAATATGAAAAATGTGGAGAGGATACAGCTTGTTATTAAATTATTACAAGGACTGGTTCAGTACGTAAATCCCTGCTAAAAGCAAAAAAAAAAACCACCCCAACTTTGATAACTTGAAATATCCGCTGTGTGAGAATTAATTGCAGCCACATTCAGTTTCAAGTAACTATGGTCTGTTCCAACCCCTTTCTTGTGTACACGCACAGAAGCCAGGTTGCAAACGGATTCCCAGAAGGGACACGGCCAAGATAAAAACTTGTTGTGAATGAGAGCAGTGTTTTGGAACAGATTTCACACAACAGTTGATACCGCTACTGCCAACGTGTTCAGATAACGCTTCATTTATGGACAACTCAAGAGGACTGCCGCTCGCTAGAAAAACTAGCTGCTGGATCTGGTGTGGGACAACAGGCCACAGCATAAGCTGGATTTGAAAACAAAACAAGTTCTTACCCTCATGCCAAGTACCAAAAAGCCAATCTCTTCCATCAGCGGGTACTTGCTGACCTGTTGCTGTATCTTCTCAGCTGAAGCATATGGATCGTAACTTTTCTGACCTATTTTTACATCCATTATGCAAGGCTTATTAAACTTACGGGTCACATCTTCCAGTTTTAGATACGTATCTGTTAAAAAGACAAAACTTTCATAAACAGTGGGTCGAAGCAAAATAATTACAGTTTCTGCCGAGCTTCTGTGGAGGAAGGAGAACAGATTAAGGGTTAACAAGTGAGCTCTTGAAGAGTCAAATTTGTCTCTGAACACAGACTAAGTCATGGTCAATGACATCCACAAATTCTTTTGGAGCTAAATGCCTTATTGTTTAGAAAATCGTATACAATGAAGTGTGCTAACCTAGCACTCAAATTCAAATTACCGCCCAAATGAAATTCATGAGCAGCTTTTATTAAGCCGTTACCATACTTTACATAGCATTAATAAGTACACAGAACTGCAGGTTACTGCATGGCTGGTTTTGCAACAGAGATGGTGTTTTCTTTCTCTGTGTGAAAGAGCTAGAATTAAAATGGCATTTTTTCTTTGTGCCATTCTAAAAATGAAATCAGCATTTCAGAGTCCTACCCTACAGGGGCCAAAATGCATCTCATTTTTCCTCCTTTCATCCCACTCCCGGCCGTACTCATTTCTCACGGCACTCCTTTTGGGGAAAACACTCCTCAAACCGTAGGCTGCCTTTCATCCGTTTCCAAAAGTCCCTTTGGGAGGCAGGGTGGACCAAAAAACCCCCCAAGCCTGGAGTGCCTGAAGACTTAAAGGAGCATTTAAAACCCGGTCGGACTGGTTTATACTCTTCTCCAATGCAGGTAGGAGCCTATTTCCAACCTGATCTACAGCACTGACTGTCAGCACACAACACGAAAACCAACAGCGACTGCTTGCCTGGCAGCAGCTCTGCTTGGAGGTTCCAGTATAAATTGGGGAATGACC